TAATATATAATTATAAATAAAATATTTAAATTAATATAAAGGGAATTGTATGTTGTTCATTGCTTCTTAGGGTGACTGATGTTGTATGTTTTCAAGATTTCATAGCTTGAAAACTTAATATATTTTAATGTTACAAACTTAAAATCTGTGACCAAGAAACATGGAGTTAATGGTCTTTGGAGGGGGAAGGAGGATTATGAGTGATTTGCAGAGGCTGGTTTAGAGTGGCTGGATTTGCTCAGCCTAAGTTGTAGTGTTTATAACATACTCTTAACAGCTACTGTCTTCCTGACAGTTGCATCATGACATGAGTACTGCCACAGACATGCAAAAGTTCATGTTCACATTTATACTGAACTATTCTATGTATGGATATACTAATTAGTCTTCTTTATTATCAGATACCTTTTTAGCCTTTGTGCTTATTTGTGTGAATAAAAGCCCAATTTACCTAAGTATATAAAATAACTGGACATTCATATACCCAGTTAAACGTTGTTCTGTAGTCTGGGACTCTATGACAGCTTGATGAACCTCAACTATACTGATGTGTTAGAAGACGGGAATAGGGACTAGGTCTATAGGACAAGTGATGTAATGTGAAACCCTTAATCTTTAGATCACCAATTTAAACACAGAGCCAGTCATCAATGATCCAGCTCAAAATGGCTGTTCATTGACAGTACTTACTACTCAGGGAAAAAACATTGGGTAAGTCATATAGTTTTATCCAGGAGCTTACAGGCTAAACATCCACTATGTGTGGATAAAAAGCAAACTAACATGGAAATTTCTGTGGTTTTGTGCAGTGACTGATTGAACTGAATTAGCAAAAAAAGTTACCATCCTGCGGCTTTGCCCCCTTTCTACAGTGTGACTTCTTCTTTACTTATGTCAAGAAAAAGAAGAGCTGAGTAGGGCATGTGCCAGCGCCTTGCTAGCTGCAGCGTGTAGGCACTGGCGTAGGTTTGCCTTGTTATGCTGGGCCGTTGCTGCGGGTCAGGGTAAGCATCTAGGCTTTAAAGTAGTTAGCTGTACAAGTTTATCCTGCTGCTACATGTGAACAGATATCCTAAATCACCCTCTTCTTACCTGGTCAAGGTCAAGGTTGAGTCGTAAGGATAACACAGAGAAGCTTAATGCTCTCCATATGTTGTACCTGTCCTGCAATAAAAGATGTCCATTAATGTCAGTCTGGAAGTAATTTTGCTTTACGGAGGGGATGAGGAGGAGAAATGCAAAGTTGGCATTGGCTGAACTCTGTGGTATGTGGTAAAGGGGTGCACGGAAAATATTAAAAATTAAAAAATAGCATTTCTATGTAATAACAGCTTTCCCCCAAGGTTCGGAAAGGTGATATCTTAACTTTTGAACTTCCCCTGCATTCATTTAGTGTTACAAAAGTTCCAAGGACCAGCAGCCCCAGATGGAGCTGCTCCTGAATGACTGCAGTATCACATACATTCCCAAAGACAGCAAAAAGAAGAAGCATGAGCTGAAAATCTCGCACCAAGGAGCGGATGCCCTGGTTCTGGCAGTGCAGAGCAAAGAGCAGGCGGAACAGTGGCTAAAGGTAAGGGGGGATTTCTGACCAGAAGCTTTTCCACCCACAAAGTGTGTCCATTGCCTGCTCAGTTGCTGTTAAAAACTGAGATACAGACTAACATTCAGGCAAATCCAAACCACTTAAATCCCGTCTAATTTGGGACTGCAGAAGTACAGACTTAATGTTCAGGCCTTGAAGCAACTCCTTGGGCAACCAGCAGCTCAGTATTACACAGCTGCTGCTGCTGCGTATGGTTTTCACTGCTCATTGCACAATAATCTGGCACCGAGAGGAGAGGTGGCAAATTCCCTTCCATTTTCATCTCCAGCTCATTTTCCAGAAAGCTTTGGTGGTTAAGGCACGCTGGTAGTGAGCTGAAGGTTCAAATTCCCTAAGGTGGAGGGGGTGGCACCCAGGTTGCTTTTTGGAGTGGTATATACGCATAACTCCCACAGGCTACCCTGCAAAAATTGGGTATACCAACATCACAGTCACCTTTTTAAAAAGAAGGATCTCTGAGGAGATACCTGTTTGAATTGCTCTTGGGTAGAGAAAAATCTTTCAGCTTCCTGAAGTCAATTCAAGTTTGCTAATCCCAGTTTAGCAGGATATCATCTGTTATGGTATTTTCTGGGAATGCAGACTTCTGAGAAATGGGATTTTGTCATCTTCCACTCTTTTCTGTTCAGTGTCTGCAAATGTGGAAGATCCCAATGCAAGGACTGCAGTTTTAGATCCTAACCAGATTACTAGTATTTATGTTGGACTTTGCCAGTTTCAAATGTGGAGGTCAGTGAAGTAGTGTGGGAGCCTGTCACTGCAGTTTCAGTAGCTTGTTTTAAGACCTTGAAATCCAGCCTTTTAAATGCTTGTAAAAGTCTGAATGCATAAGACTCATCAGGCATTCTCCATGCTGTGCTCTGATCTAACCTTATATAGTACTTCTTTTTCTAAGAATAAATTGTATTTTTACAAATTCAATCTAATTAAACACATAGGAATTTCCTGATGGCAGATAGTTTATCTGCAGAAGACGGAGACATAAAATGCAGCTTAAGAGCTGTGAGTTCTGCTGTGGGCTAATTTCTAAATGGAAAATTAATCTGTAATTTCCAATTTTTCAACATTTGAATACACCTTTTGGGGGTTTACAGTTTACATGTGTGTGTGTGTTTGGTTTTGACTGCAAGTTTGTATCTTAGCTTAGAAAATGCACTCTCCGTTATCTTTTTAGTAGAAACTAATCACAGCCATGGGTTTGTTAGGCTGCTTCTAACAGTATCTTGTTTTAAGTTTTAAAATCTAGCACCATCCAAGTGTCCCGCTAACTCACTTAGAGTTTCAGAAACACCGACTGGAATGAAAAGAAATTAATAAGTCATGTTCTTTTCCAAGGGAATTCCGCTGTAATTAGGTCATAGTAACTGCACCATTATTTCCTGTGTTGTTCTAAACTTGGGTTTAGTAATGCTGAATTCATGGCCATTTATCAGACCTTCTTTCATAAAAAATTGTTTTCTTTTTTCTTTTTTTTTTTTTTTTAATTGTACACAGCATTCCCCACACACACACAAACTCTAGAGCAGTGCTAGAATTTTCCATATCCCAGATGCATTCCCACTACTTTAATTAGAAAAAGAGATTTTGTACAGTTGCATGTTAACAAAGTTGTGTGTGCCAAGGGTGAATGGCCGGGCAGTATGTTATCTGCAAAGCATTTGGAGACAGTCTGACAGCACTTTGTTTAGTTCCTTCATGCTGCAAATCTGTCTAATAATAAAACTCCTTCAGGTACATGTCAACGCTCCTGTACAGTCAACTTCCAAGTCCTCAGCACTGCTGCAGCACTCTTTGTTCTGAACAGTACAAATTGCCTACCTAGCAGCTAACCAAAAATGGTCTGTGCAGCTCTTGCAACAGCTCCAGTGTTTTCAAGAGGGACTATAGCTTTTTGAGATAAAAAGCATTGGGTTTTGTATTTTTTAAAAAGTATCAAAATTTAAGTTTGGTTTTTTATTATGAAAATAATTATTTTTTGTCATTCAAGCCTTACTTAAAATGAGCGTCTGAAAATCATGTGTGGCTTTGTGTAGGAAGTTTCTATACTGAGAAAGAGATCACTGCTTTGTCTTGGGAGAAGCAGTTTGAGCTTTCCCTGCCTGTCACTCAGAGGGGCAGGGTGGCCCCCAGCTCTGTCACCTACGTGTGATTTCTGTAGTTAATAAAATGGGCAGATTCAGAAACTGACAATGAGAAATGTCTCTGCAACCACATTTTTTAATCATAACATACCTTCTCTGTCAAAGATACTGTACCAATACGTGCCAGTGGAGCCAGGTTATCACTCAGGAACAATGGGTTCTCATGAACTCATATGTAAACGTCAAATTAAAGCTTTACTCTTGAGCCTGAAAAGCTCAGAATGGCTTTGGAGGCCAGATTTTCCCATGAAAGCTAAACCAGATGATTTTTTTTTTTAAGTCAGATGTAATCGGTATAAAATACATTTACTTAAGCAAATAATCTTAAAATATCTATTGGAAGACAAGTGTGAAATAAATGCAGAATATTTTAGACCTTTTTTGTAAAGATGACACCAAAAAACCCCAGCTGATAAACTTAGTGCAAATTGAAGTCTAGACTGGAAACCACAAAGGGAGTTTCAGGTTTACCGGCTAAGAAATGCTTGATGAAAAAAAAGACAGCTGATGTCACCAACAAGCCTGTCAGGCTTTCAGAGCAAGGAGCCTAACTAGTATAAATTCAGGCTAGAGCTGAGATCATAGCAGTAATATGGTGTGCAACATAAAGTGGTGGAATTTTCCAGACTTGAGTCCTAAAATGTTCCCACAAAAACGTACATGAAAAAATGTATGCAGTTACACACTCAGACCCAAACATGAGCTTTTTCCATGCGCGCTTGAGTGTATGTCCATCTGTGTGCGCTTTTGTGCATTTGTGGTCAAGTAAGGTCTTAAATCTGCCTGTTTGTCTCAGCACATCCAACAGACTGGTTGAAACTACATTTATTTGTCAGCATCCCTGGGAAATGCCACATTAAAAATAAAAGGACTACTAAGAACATGACATTACAAGAGGATGCTTGTTTAGTGGCTTCATTCATACGGATGAATGTGTTCTGTGTGCAGGACCTTCAGACTAGGCCACAGAAAACTGCTCTTAATATTAAAAATACATGGATGCCAAAGAAATTAAGTTCTGAAGTAGCTTCTTGTAAAAGACCAGTAGAAGAAGGAAATGGTCATGGTGTCTGGTCCCAAGGCCTTCTCTTCCTCTTAGCATTGCCCCCTGCAAAAATGTATTTCTGATTTATCATGCATGAGAGGTAATCTATGATTTTGGAGTACTGCCCTTGATTTTCGTTCTTCCCAAATATTAGGCACCCTTTGTTAACTTTTCTTCATTTTACAGTGTGCAGCCATTTAGCAGCAATCTCTTCAGTTGAGGGTCTGTATTTGAGCAGTGAATCTTCAGGCATGAGTAGACGTTTCTGCATCTATCACTTTGACAATGTTCAGTCCATTCTGAACTTGTTGTAATAAGAGGGATTTTTGCCCTGAAGAGGGGAGAAGATCAAGGTTGTGACTGTATCCAGTCACCCAAAGACCCTGCAACACTCCTCATAGGGCTGTTAATCCGGTCGTCCTACCCAGTTTCCATCTCTGATAACTGCATGTTGTCTTGCATAAAAGTCTTTGAAAACAGCTTATTTTTTCACTATTGGGCTCTGGTCTTAGTGTGGACTGAGTTTTACTGAAGAATAAACTCCTGACAGAGCTGCTCTTTTACCAGTTTAAATCAGCACAAAACTGAGCTTGTAACTGTAAACATTGTGTGGCTGGTTTTACTTTCTATGGGAATTTCCAGCTAGAGATCTTCACTTCAAACATTGCTTTCTTGGCTTAAGTAATGTTCCCCAAAGAGGTTATTATCTCCATTTTGTAGCTGACTATAGAGTCAAGTGCTGAATGATCATGCCTTCAAACTGACTGGAAAAAGTGCATTTGGGGATGCATACTCAGTAAAAGTGATTTCCATATAGTGGTTGTTAGTTTATAAGTAACTTCGGGAACATACTGTGTCCCAGGACAGTCAGGCTGGGTTCTTTCTCCACTGCACATCATCACCAGCAGTGAAGGCTTTTGCAAACTAAATTAAACCTCCCAGGACTTACGCCCCTATTGTCTCAAAGAGATGGTTTTAGATACCTTGGTACAAACCATGGCAAGGTCAGCATGTTTGCATAAGAACTATTTAGGGCACAATCTGGAGACGCGACAGACGGAGCTGCGCGTGAGAGCTTTGACCAGCCTGCAGGACTGCTGCCTGCGTGCTTTGACAGAGCCGGAGGACCCCATCCTGGCTGTGAACCAGAGTGTGTTTTGTGACCAGCACCATGGAAAACAATACATTACTTTAAAAAAGCAGATGCATATGCAAATTAAAAAAAAAAAAAGAAAAAAACCAGACAAAACCCCACACCAGTGAATACAGAGCCACAAACATCCTATTTGCTTGTTTTCTCAGGGATAAGTTTTCCTTAAGTTCCTGGCTAAAATCACAAATGCAAGCTGTAGCAGATCTCAGAGCAGAACCCAGGAGGGCTGAGGCTTGATCCCTTGCTTTCACCACGAGATAGTATTCCTCCTCTCTCCTACTTGCAGCTTTGGATGGAAAATTATTTAAATCATACCTAGCTCAGATTTATGGCCTAAAGTGCAGTCTGCATCTCTGCACCGCCTGGGCTGGGGATGCAGCTTCCCTTGCATGGGGTACCTCTGCCCTTGCAGCAGCAATGCCTCCAGCCACCCTCTGCAGCCACCCAGAGCCTCCTTTCCCAGACCCTGCCCGATCCAGTGGCCATAGATGGGAACAGACTTCATGGTAATAATGCAGGAGAAAGGGTACAGGGGTTGTCTTGGTTGAATATGTCAGAAAAGTATTTTTAAGGAAATAAAGAGGCACTAAAGATAGGCTTGCTGGCTGCTAGTCTGCTAGAAACTCATCCCCACTTTGCTCAAACAAACGGCAATAAGGCAGGAAGATGAATCTTTTCAGGCTAGGGGATGCTTGAGAATGATGTTTTCCAGTTCAGAGGGGAAAGGGTGTTTCTTTTTGAGACATAAAAGCATAGGCTATGATGTGAATAATTTGGTTTTACTCTAATTTATCTAGGTAAACTCCTGGAGCATTTCTTCTCTGCAAAGTGCTAAGAGAGTTTTGGGGCTCTCTTGGGGAGGAGGAGATTGATGCTAATGTATGTGGTGTGTAAGGGTCCAAAAGAGAGAGAAAATGAGAATTTAGTCATGCCAAAATGACAAAAAGCCCCAGAAAGTCAGTACTCCTCCAGCACTGAAAAGGGAGTGTTTCAGGAATGAGAAATACTGGGTTATATCTGGAGCCAAACCTTTTTCCCTCTGCTGTGTTGTGCATAAGCAGATTTCAGCTTTACCATATTCCTGTCTTCAGAGTTAAGCAGCAAAGGCAAGAGGCAGGGGATTCAGCCCATCCCATTTCTTGCGAAACACGTGGGTAGATGGGGATGAGGGGGTGGGTTGGCTGGATGGCTTTCTAGCCTGGTTACATACAGAAGTAAAGCAAATGTGCAGTCAGGCTGTCATCTTTCTCCCTAATCACTTTTGAGCTCGATCATATTAAAAGTGTGACCTTCTCCTGTGAGTTTCATGAAAAGATGAGACGAGATGCTCTCATCACATCCCTGTGGGGAGCACAGCCTGTAGCCTGAACTTTGTAGTTTGTAGAGAGGTCTACGAGCTCCTCAAACGCAGGGAGACTCGGTCTTACTCCTTATCAGGTCCCAAAGAGATCACCTACAAGGAACCAGCTACGGATTCAGTTCTTCTACTCAGAAGGTGTTGGGTTTCTGTGCGGCAGGGTCTGGCTGGCAAGCAGCTGGCTTTCTGCTTTTGCTGTGTAGCCTGTGCTTTTTATCTGAAGCCTGCTTCTTTGAAGGTAGATGGAAAAATCTAATTTGATTCTTCTGACTTTGCATGTAGGGTAAGTATTTTGCCTCTAGTCATGGCGTGTCATTTAAAATAAGACACAATAACTCTAGAAATTTGTAGGTGATGGCAGTTATGAAGGTTTTATAGTAAATGTTAGTGCTTGTGTAGTAAGATAGTTTTAAAGAGAGAAATATTCCAGACACACCGCGTGGCAGAAATTCCACTGACTTCACCCATCACTGTCAAGGCTTGGGGCAGGGAACCTTTCCAGCTTTGTACCTGCAAATACTTCCCTCTATTCCTCATGTCACTGCAGTCAATGTGATACACTGGTGTATATCCTGATCCAGCTGGGGATTCGAGACCTTTCTCTAACATAAATAAGGAATAATAAAAGAGTTCAGGCTGCACAAGCTTTTTCCAGGTCTGCATTTGAAAGAGGCAGTTCTGAAGTCTACTAATTGTAACATTGTAATGGTAATTGTGGTATTTAAAATTCCTGTGATGGAGTAACAGAAGGTTATTTTAAATATATTTAGTTTTGAGGCTATCCGAAGAAATGAAAGGTCTTCAGTTTTCTGATTGCATTTGCTTATATATTTTAAATATTTGAATGCATACTCTGTTTATGATCTCAGCTTGATTTTCCTGGCAGATCACCTAGTCTGTGTATATTTAATGTACAAAGGTATTTGTGGTGAGAAAAAGAGAATTATTTCCCTTTTCTAATGTGTGGGAAAACTTAAACTATTAATGGAGTGTGTGCCATTACAAAGCATTCTCAGTACAGCCTTCCAGATTATGCTGTTTTATTAAAAATAACACATTTGGGGATTCCTTATATTTGCTTTCTAGTTTTGGAGCCACTGAGATACATTTATTCATATTTTCACACGTTTCATTGCAATGGATAAAAGTTTGCTGACCTCCTTTCCCCACTCTCACTCGCAGCTATTTTTTTAATGAAAACAGTGATCGTTTGTTTTCATATGACTCCAGGAGACTCCATAGAAAAAATTGACAAAAACGCCGAGTCTTGTGATTGAAATTATGCATGTTGGCAACACTGGTGGAATGTTTTATCCTTAAAATTTTGAGTTAAAGCTATAAGCATGTGAAAACCACATTTATAATGGCAGTTGTCTGCAAACGTAATTATAGAGAGTGCATCCAGGCAACCGTTATATATTAAAGGCATTTCATCCTGGTGAGCTGTAGAAGTACGAGTTTTATGCTGTGCATCGAACACAATTACATTGCACATAGAAGATGATGAGCAAGTCTTTGCCAGTGAGCCCCTTGAACCTAAATGAAGTGTTGGATCCTTGAATATGCATTTACTTCAGATCTTGCCATGAACTTCCACTTGATAGTGTGTCATTTTTTTAATCAAAATTTAATTACAACCCAATTAAACACTTCAGCTTCTCCTTAAATATGTGAGGTATGATAAGAACCGGCTTTACTTGAGTGCATGACTTTGCACATACTATTCAGTTAGTGCTGCCAAATCATTTCCCTCTGTTCTGTCTGTAACTCCCACTACTATCTGCCTTTGCCAAAATTAACTAACTGTGTGGTGTGAGCAGATGCTGAAAACATGAGCCATTGAATCAGGGTCATGCAGGAGACAGAAATGAATGTTCCCAGAAACAGTACAGTCATATTTCTCTAGGAAGAAAACAGCAGTGTATTTACACCATGCTGAGGACCAGCAATTGAAAATAAAACAACACACATTAAAAAAATTCTTACGATTTTGGGGAATTTAGAGCTACGTTTAACTCTGAGGTGCAAATGCTCTGCAACACACATATTTAAATTTTCTGTTACAAAGGACACCAAGTGTCATGAAATACTGTGCTTATGTTTCTGGGACAAGACAGAAGGAAGTTCAGATGGTCAAGGAAGGATGCTGAAGTGCTTTAAGCTACTAGCTCAGAAAAAAAAGCGTAGGTTCATTTCCCTCCTCTGCATAGATTTTTTTAATGTGACATTGAGGGAGTGATTTAATCTTTCTTTTGTTCCTGAGTTCTTCATCTGTAAAACAGGGCTGGTGCTCGCTCTTTATGGCATATAGTGCCTGTAATTTATGATGTGCTCATGAGTTGTAGCAATAGGGTCTTTGTAAGCCCATAAACATTTGATTTGTTTAGCTTCACCCTTAAAGGGAACTTCAGCGCTGTGAAGGGACTGTTTGGTGCCATCCTTAGCTCTTTAATGGTTTCCACATCAAAATTGCTCAGTCAAAACTGAAAAGTTGTTCTTTGCTGTTTTGCTTTTCCTCTCCTATAAAGAAGATTTTGGATTTTGACAGTTAGCTAATTGCTGTTTTCCCTGGAACTGGGAGTTCTCAGGCCAGATCCTCCTCTCTGCCAGCCGAGCTTGCTGTAAACAGTGTGAAGGGAGAGCTGGATATGTAAACACGTACATGTACATGTAAAGGGGAAAGTTTGCATGTCTAGTGGTAATGCTTCCAGCAGATTAGGATGCCTTTCTTTCTTACCTCGCTTGGCTCTGCTGTCCTTGCGTGGCTGTATGGCTGTAATCAGCAGTGTGCTGATTACACACCCTCAGCACCCCCTCGGCATGAGTCTGGATGGAGAGTCAGGACCTGTTCATCAGCATAAGCAATTTCAGACTGATAATGGGCTGGTGGAAACCTCATGAGAGAAAAAACTTAATTATGCCCATAGGGAATCATCAAATGTCTTTCCTCAGCGCGTGGTTTTACATTTATAAAGTTTCACATTTTGAAGTTCTTCAAATTCTATAGAAATCTCGGTGAATTTGGTTCTGGATTTTTCTTCAACTTCTTAAAAGCAGACTTAATGCCGTTCCCATTTCCAAGAACACATTTACAATTACTTTGACCTATACCTCTATGTCAATGTGCAAGTATAATACAAAAATACCACAAAATACCACTGCGTGGTATTAACTGTAAATTGATCAGCACTTCATTAATTCTCCAATAGCAAAAAAAGAGCAGCTGGGTAGTGTATTATGCAAAACTCTTGTCCTTTGACATGCAGGGCCTTGGATCTAATCCCACTTTTTCGTCATCATAATGAAATTAATTTGGTGGTGTCAGCTGAGTCTGTATTGCAAAACTAGCATATGGAAATCAGCAGCACTGTTGGTTTCTTTACTCAGGAGAGCCTTGGAGCTTAGCTTGTCTAGAAACTGAAACCTTCCACCTCTAGACATTATGTCTCCTCTAGGTTGTACATGAAATGACTTAGGGAGGCAGTGTGAAGTTGGTGTAGTGGTAGCCTGCGTGACACCTGCCAGCCTAGTAAATGTCTGTGCGATTCTCCTTCCCATCTCCCTTCACATTCATATATATTTTCTTTGAGTTGTATTTTATGAATAATTAGTAAGTTTTGCCTTGTCTCCTAAGGTTATAAAAGATGTGTGCAGCAACTGTATGGGAGCGGTAGACTCTGATGGGCCATTGTCTAGTTCTCCAGTGCACAAGACGGAGCTGGAAAAGGTAAAGTTATCAAAACGATGAATGTAGAATTCCTTGTGATTACTTATGATAGAGGCACAGCTAGACACTGCATGGTTTAGGGCATGTTCAGACCACAAAGCTGAAATTGAATGTAGGTTCTGGATTTCGTGCATTGACTTGTTCATGTTAAACCATTTTCTGGGGCAACCTTCAATAACTATTTGCTGACTCATGCTACTGTTTTAGACTGTTAGCCCTTGTGTCGTTTTTGTTTGTTTGGGTATGTGCACACATCCTACAGAAAGAAGACTTCTGCCATGTCTATTCATTTGGTCATGAACAACCAGCAGACTGGCGTGTATCCATTAGCAGCTTCTCTTTAGCCATTTCAGGTGCAGACTAAGCGGGTCTGATACATGTGCTGTGATGCAGAGATGCTTTCCATCAAGTGCAAAGAGCAGGAAGGGATGTGACCCTCAGGGAAGAATAGCTTAAGATTATACATAACTTTTAAGGGAAAGCCTTTTATTTTTGAGAATTTAGCTCTTGAAGAGCTCCCTGGGCATGCTGAGGTCACTGTTTTGGCAGACCCTGTCAAGCATTTGTGTCTCAAGACAGAAACTTGGCTATTCACATGTGGTTGTCTCTGCTGCCTTGACTCAGCAGGATGTGAGAGCAAGGATTAGGAAGGAGAACAACCCTGCAGTGAACGATCAGTACATTACCAGCACCATTGTAAGCCCCTGCTCTGTTAAGGCATCCATGTGAGCAGACCCCTCTGCAGACCCTGCTTAAAAGTCCCACTGCCAAAGGTTTCGTCACCAAATTCCTGGTGGCAAGTTCTACCCCCTACAGTCAGTAGCGTTACATTGCATTGCACCTGGGATAGTAAGAGCAAAGCATGTTCCATGACAGCTCAGACCTTCTGATTTCACAAGGCAAAAGCTGTTGTGTTTGCATGCTTGCACACACCTGCAGAATATTAACAAAGTAACAGAAAGTGTCATAAAATAGTTGTTTTTTAAAATGCGTGCCATGAAAAGGGATAACAAAACTTCTCATTCATTTCTTTCTGTGATAATCTGTACACCTTCTTCATGGCTTCACCACTCATGAGTAATGTGGTTACCAAAACTGTGCCAGCATAAGCTCTTTACCGCGTCATCCTGTATCTCATACGCAAGCATTACAGAATAATCGGTGCTAAAAATCTATTTCAAAAGTCTCTTTTTTGCGGATATTGAAAGTACTGAAGGACCATGTAGGAATGCACTGTTTTCTGATAGGTTGTAGTTGTAAATGCATATGTGAAGCATTTTTTAAAGAAGTACTTTAAAAATTATTCTTACCTGATCCATGTAATTGTTCATTGCTTAGCAGATTAATAAACAACAACATTTAGAGTCTAGAAATTAATTAAAAATATGTTGTGTAATAAGAGGTATTGAATTGTGATTATTTCCCTGTTTTGACTGTATTTTCAAATATAGACTGATTTTGTGGTTTCTGTGCTTTTCTAAAGCCTATATGGCAACATAAGAAAACCCTCTCAAACTGAATTTTTTACTGTCTTCTGTTTGTCTTCCAAGTGGATGAGAGCTTGAAATGTGTTTTATTTCACAGTAAGCATACTTTTAAATTGACTCATGGTACTTCGTTCGGCAAAGGTGCCAACACTGTATGTCAACTAATCTCTTTGTCCCTGCAGAAGTTGTCATCTGAGAGGCCAAGCTCAGACGGGGAAGGTGCTGTGGAAAATGGCATCACTACCGTGTGCAATGGGAAAGAACAAGGTATGTCTCAGATCCAGAGATGCTTTGTGTAAATAGTATGTGCATATAGGGAGCGATCAGTAGTGAATTACCTGACTTTTGTCTTTTAAAAATAGGCAGTAAAGTTTTTGAATATTTTTATTAGGATTCAATTTCACTTGAAAGCTGAATTATGTCAGTGAATCCACAAAATTCTGCAGTAACAGAAGGCATTTGATGTTGTCATTGCGCAGGTAAAATCAATATAATTAGTATAAGGAAACAGAATATAGAAATTGTGGTTTGGCCTTTTGTGTGTTCAAAAGTACAGTTTTTTAGAGCTTGGGCGACCACTATAGGCAACAGTTGCTTTTAGTAACTGTAAGTGTATAGGGGCAACACAAATAGTGGGTGTATAGCTTCTTAGCAAAAAAGCTATCATTGAATATTAGAAGGAAAGAATCGTGAGTATTTATATATGTGTGTGTGTATGTGTGTATACACAGATACATGGATATATAAACTATTATGTATGATTATTTGTATTAACATACTAAAATGTATATAATCGTGTAATATCCGTGGGTTTGTGAGTATATAGCTGTATGATTTTACATATGCTACTTTGGAGCCATGCATGTTTTGTAGTCCTTATAATCTAACAGAGGCACATCCCAAACCCAGGGGGAATTTTGTCCAAGATATCTAAAAATCTCAACCCCTGGGCTCTCTTCTCCACCACGCTCTCTGCTCCCCAAAGTGTAAGAAATTCTATGACTTTGTTAACTTGCCATGTAGCAGTGGTATCGTTAAGATAAGACATTTACTGCAGCTGTCAAGCTGAAGGGTAACGTGAGCTGCAGTGAGCACAATGTCAATACTGGCCTTGGTGCCAGCGCTGTCTCGCCTTTTGACTCATTTCCTTTACCTTCTCCCTGGGTCATTTTCCAATGTTTCCTGACTGTACAGATCTCTGACATACCCAACAGTATAGAACAATGTCAGGTTTTGTGGTGTCTAGAAGTTGTGGTTAGATTTCACCCCATAAAATCTTCTACTAAGCTTTCAAAAAGCGCACTACTGTTTTAGCCTCTGAAACCTGCTGAGAAACATCTGTGACCCAAAAGCTGTATTGTCCATGATGTCCAAAAGTGCCTGGTGGCTCAGATGCCTCACAAGATGCATGCTGATGGAGCATGTGCTGCTGGAAAACCAGCCCAGCTTAGACGTCTCAAGGAGGGTAATTAAAAATACAAGTTGCTTGTGAAAATTGTGGCCTTTGATATGAAGTAATAAAAATAATAGGCATTAATGACTACAAGAAGATTAAAATATCCCTGGCATCATTTTAAGGGGTTCTGGATGAAGTTACACTAGTTTTTTAAACAATGGAGAGGAAACGCTTAAGGGAGTACATGGGAAGGGACACTCCGGAGAGCAGGCATCTCCAGCCGTCACCCATCGGCCAGCCTCTGCTGCGCTCTGAACCAGCTGCTCGTTTTGCTGTGGGGAAGGAAATGAGAAGAAAAGGCTTTTGTGACAAAAATCACTGGCAGTCAGGCAATCAGTATATTCTTTAAACTCGAAAAGATTAAGTCATGAAGGCCTTATTTCTGCTGCCCCCCAGTTCTGCAGGAAAATAGAGCAGTGTGAAGGAAAGATAGGACAGAAGAAAAAAAAAAAAAGCACTGAAACAGGCTTATTCCACTGTCTGTTCACGCCCCTGAGAATGGTTCCTTTGGGGTTCTGTCTCAGAGAGATGAGTTTTTCTCAGTCTCTGGCTTTTTTCAATGCTTTTCATCTCCTCCCCACTCAACAGCCACAGCCGGTCATCGGCTGCCGCAACGGAAACCTGGCTGCGGGCAGGTGCTGCCTTTGGGTCGTCCCTGAGGCAGGGGGTGACATGAGCAGAAGGGACGGGTGGCCTTCCTCCCTCGAACACACAGGAGCTCACTGCATGTTTCGAGAGCACAATATAAGTTGTGAACGCCCTTCCCTGGGGAAGAGAGAATTAGACCTTCGCTTGGACACGTGCATCGCTGTATTGGAGTTTGCTGGTCAACAGCTATCCACGCCTGAAAAGCTGCCCTTCCCTCTCAGCACCGCATGCGGCGGGTGACAGATTTGTGCAGTCTTGGCTGCAGATACAATTTCTAAATAATGTTCCATGATTCTTAATAATTAAACTAAATATGATAAATTAATCCCATTGTGAGTCCCAAACTGCTTCTCTGTTTTCTGTGCATTCTTCTTCCCGGTTCATCAATTCATATAGTCATTTCTCAGATGAACATGCTGTCTTTTTTTTCCTCAGTTTACACAAGTCCGTAACCACTAAATGTTCCCTGTTGCAAAGGGAATTGATGTGTCCGGGATAAAGTTACAGCAGCACAATCAGTGGCTATCCTAAATGTATTTTTCATCAAAATCGTGTATCAGGGCAAGTTAATGGATATTTTTTCTGCCCTTTCAGTGAGTAGAGAGACTTTTGCTCTGTTGATGGAATCCAAATCAGGCCACCAAATGCAATTTCTGAAAGTTCATTTTGTTTGTTCTGTTTTGCAAATAAAAGGTCTTTTTTTCCGATTCTATTTAATATTAGAAACCTTTTTTTTTTTTAATTTGTTAGGATTTTGGTCACGTAAGCACTTTTAAAAATTATATCGATAGTCCTTGCCATGTTACATTTAGCAGTTCAACATGCCTCACTGCACAGAGCTGTAATATTACTAGTCTTGTATTAAGTTAATGGAAGCATAGACTGGGTGTTAGCAAAATACCTCTTTTCAGCAGAGCCTTTTCTTTCCAAGCCCTCATGATCGCAAAAAGTGCCAGCTTCTAACCATTGAATGCTTATACTGATCCCACTAATTTAATTGTTAGCAGTTATTTTACAAGTCTTATCTTTCTAAAAGGTCCATTGTAATAAGATACCTTAACCTGATTGTACATGGCAGGAGTATTTTTGCTAGGCAAGCATATTCTGTCTTTGTTGTGTACTTAATTGTTGAAGTATTTTAAGGTAAATGTTTAGGAACAATGAGAAATCGTCCGGCTGGATTTTTATTCTTGTGCATGTGAGCTAAATTTATGTGCGGGTACCTCAGTCATACTGATAAATTAGATGATGTCTGCTGTGGAAAGAGACTGTCAGGTTGATTAGATTAAATTAAATTAAAAAGTTGATTTTTGTTTTTCTTATCCTTCTGAATGCCATGATTTTTAAAGCACAGAGGTTATTTATAGGCATCTGCATTAAAGAGGTCATATAATATTTATCTCATGGCAGTCTGCAACTTTGGTATGAATGTTCATCTTGCACAGGATTGTTTGTCTGAACTACTATTTTTATTCAGGTTCTCTCTATTCATTGGTTAATTTAAGCACATTAAAATACACCCTTTTGCTTTCTTAATAGTGAAGAGGAAAAAAAGTTCAAAATCAGAAGCCAAGGGCACTGTGACTAAAGTAACAGGGAAAAAAATAACGAAGATCATTGGTTTAGGAAAGAAAAAGCCATCAACAGATGAACAGACCTCATCAGCTGAAGAAGATGTTCCAACATGTGGTAAGTGATTTTTCTCCTTGAGTCTTAAATGCACATTGTGACTAAACCTTTCTAAAATTCTAGCCTAGAAATTCCTCAAAATTTGCTTTTATTGCCATAATTCTTCCCCCAACATCAGAAGGATGCATTTGGACTGAAAGAGGAGTAGAGTAATCAAGAGCTTATAATTTGGAAAGAGACTGGAAGAACTTGACTTTTTAAATAAAATGGTAGTACAGGCTAAGAAGGAATATCATTGCTCTTTACAAAGGTGAGGGGGAAGAGAAGTGTGGACAAAAAGCAGAAAGAAACAAGAGCTGTTTTAAAAAAAAATGGGTACAAAATGAATATAGGCTGAACTGTGAAATAAATTCAGGCTAGGAATTAGAAGAAGGTTCTTGGGAAGGTATCAAGTCTTTTATGATGGATCGTGGTGAGATTTTATGGGATAGTAATCAAGACAGCAGTTGACTGGCCTCAGCCAAAGTGATTTGAGTTTAATTGTGGGTTCCTAAAGTGGTACATATTGGGTAAAACTTGAATGAAGTAACAAATTTCTAGTAAGCTATTTTAACTCCTAATGTTGATCACTCCATATGACAGCTGTAGCACTTGGCAGTACCAAAGAAGTATATAAAAAGGCACGCAGAAAATGCTTATGTTTTGTATCTTAGCTGTTAATGTTTGCTCAGAATTTAGGACTTTGTGCAATATACTTAGCTGATGTCCTCACAGCTCTGGTATTTTCAAACAACGTAATGTATTTACATTCTCCTGTTTGCCTTCTGGTGCTCCAGTATTAAGTAACACTTCCATACGTGAATAAGGTTGAACCCACCCTTCTCCCAATGCATTCCAAAAAAAATTTCCATAGAAAGCAAGCTGTGAAGCAGTTGCACTGGATTCTGAATTTGGATTTGCCTTTTCCCCTTCAATTGACTAGGAAAACTTTGGGAAACCCAGAAATCTGTGATTAGGCAAGCAGTTGGCAGAACTTACCGGTGCGTGAAGTGTGATAGATGCTTGCCCAATGTGAAAGAAGCAGATCCATGGACCACCAGCGAGAACTTCATAGATCGCAGGTGGCTCTCAAGCCACACTTGAGGAATGATTCACATAAGCAATCTTTGATGAAATAAGTGTGTGCATATATGTCTATACGTCAGCTAAGTACACATGTGATTTATCAACCCAAAGAACAGCTGGGAAAAGCTGTGTCCAGCCAGATGCATTGTCTGAAGCATCTGGCTTCCATAAAAGCCCAAACTTCCGGGGTCTCATACTCCATTGATTATTCTGTATTATGTGAGATGTTAACCACAGCTGTACAATCTAATTCCTAGTATTTCTATCATTATTTCGGATATGGACATAAGTATAGCCGTTACTATTGCCTGCATTTGGCTCTACTCAACACCACTTGCAGCTTTTATAGGAAAATATATGTGTCTAGGCTTTGGTCATTGCAGGAAGTGTTTGCAGAAGGAGTTTCTCACCACCAGAAATTTGACTTAGTGCAATGCCCTCTGGGAGGTTGCTCCACAGTTGAAGGCTTCTCCACTTTAAAAGGCTCTACCTCCCATGAACAAAGGGGGCCCAGCGGGGCTGCAGGGGACACCCAGTTAGAGTGGAAATGGAAACCCACCTGCACTTGGAGTGATGGCTAAGGTGTTCCCTAGAGCATCACTGGTCTTTGACTGCCTGGGCTAAGCTGAAGTGCTAATGCCCCCGCTGGGAACACACTCAGGGCATTTTGGTCATGTCAACTGTTGAAGTTTTAAGGATGGATATGTGGGAGGAAAAGCATGGGATCCTGCTTACTTCAAGTGAAGTAAGAGGGTTTGGAAGAGCTTTTCTGAGAGATGCGCTGGGAGCAGAGGGGGAAAAAAAGTACTGTCTGAAAAAAAGGACTCTCACTCCAAAACAAGCCAGCTGGCTTGCACATGAGGGGTTTTCCATTTCCAGGGATTATATTATAATGCATAGCTATACAGGGTTTTGTTACAGGAGGAGGGAGGAGAGCTGGATAGTGTGATCATCACAAGGAGCCAAAATCAGAGGATTGTGCACATCCTCCTGGTTTTTTATGGCACCTTCCAAGATGTGCGCAATTCTGATCTGCCATATCCTGTTGGATTGAGCTTTGACATTGGAACCAAAATGTTGGAAGGGAAACCCAGAAAAATGAATGATAAGTCACAGTTTTAATGAAAACCAAAGAGATAGCTATCCAACAGGATTAAATGAAAATCAGACCTGAGATAGAAGACAATTTTTTCACGTAAATTGCGGCCTGTGCAAGATATCATTTGTTTCCCTCTTCATAGCCTGTTTGGAAGCAGCAACATGTTGAATTCATGTACTGTTCATAATGTGGAAGCAAAAGTAAAAGATTTTTTTTTTTTTTAAATTCCCAAACTAAATAAGGCAGGAAAATTGGGCATTGTCTTGATTTTAAAGTTTGAGTCTGGAATGATTGTTCCTATGGGACAGAGAAGGAAAACCACAAAAATACTGGCCATTTAATGATATTATATGCCTAGACACTGTATCCAATATGAAGCGTGATAAGAAAAGTGGGTTTTTTTAAAAGGCACTTTGTGCATGAAATTTTGATTTGTTGTAAGGGTAGTATATTATGCCTGGGGAAAAAAAAAATCTTTGTTTAAACTTTTGTCCTAAAGTTTAGCTACATTTCATATACTTTTACTTCTTGAATTTTAAACCAATATGATTTTTATTTTTATTGGCATCAGTAGTGATCTTTTAAATTCTGCTTTAGAAGTGTTGCAAACCAAATGTGCATTCTTCTTTCTAAATGAAATTGGAACATTTGACATTAACGCTTAGTAGGTCTTTAAAACACTGATGTTGGCTGTTACAGAAGGTAGCTCATCACCTAATTATATAATATGAGCTGTGATTTTCCCAGAAAATTTTGGTCAGCCACAGTTATCAAAGCCATTACACATGGAGAAGGTGGGTCTTCTGTGTGAGCACATTGGCTGTGTACGTACCTTTTTATCGCTGTCCCTCGCCAAGACTAAAGTCTTGGGGATCGGTGTGCTCCTGCTCATCCAGCCGCTGCAGTGACTAACAGAACAGCAATTTGCACGTGAGCGGGATCAAATCTTCATATGCTTTTTTCTAAGTTATTGGCACAGTGAAAGTTTTCATTAAAAGAAGTGGGGCAGGGTCCTTTATTTGTCTTCCTAAAATCCATCTGGACTTTCTATTATAAGAGGAGTAAGTTGTTTAAGTCTAGCATTACACTGAAAAGTAAGTTTGGGGTTTTTTTGTCTTTTCAAAAAAAGTCAGGAGTAAAATATCTCATGTTTCATTTTATTGCAGGGTATCTCAACGTGCTCTTAAATAACCGTTGGCGTGAGCGGTGGTGCAGAGTGAAAGATAATAAGCTCATTTTCCACAAGGACAGGACAGATCTGAAGACGCACATTGTTTCTATCCCTCTCCGTGGCTGCGAAGTCATCCCGGGACTGGATTCGAAGCATCCCCTGACCTTCCGCCTGCTCCGAAATGGGCAGGAGGTTGCTGTGCTCGAGGTGCGGTGGTTGCTAATGGCTATGACTTGTAAGAACACCCACAAGCTAAATTAGAGAAGCACTTTCATACAACCTGGCCATTCAAAAGATCTTTTAATAAATACTGGAAGGAGAAGAAAAATACTGAGTTGTAGGCAAAGAGAGAACTGAGATTTAATGCAGTTCACAAATCTTCTCAGTAAGATGCTTTTCTCTACACTGACCTTCCCTTGATCTGTTACTAAAATATCCCTGCTCCTTCTCTATACACGCTGTTACATCAGGGATATAATTACTTTGGGTAAATAACTTTGCAATAATTAAATAACGGATCACTGTCGATGGGAACTCTAGAGCTCTTAATTCTCATTTGTCTGCTACTTATGTGAACCACTTTTGCTCAGTCTGTTTCCGTATTAGAGTAATTCTGCAGTAAGAAAGTAGAGTGTGCCAGCATCCTGGTGAGTCCCTTTACAGGCCACCCATGTACACAGTGGTACACTCCTTGCACTACAAAGGTCATACCTTCACCTGTGTTAGGTGAGTCAGGATTTTCTGAGGGGCTTTATTCATCATATTTTGAAAGCTGAAAGGAGAAGACACTTAAAGCCAAGTATAATGAAGGTATAGGGGGAGGCGACCTTTTGTTTTCAGTGGCAGGATGGACACTTTGGCACTTTGGGTTTCCAACTGCAGGTCACATCAGTCTCCTGTCCTTGCAACCAGGCCTGTTATATGTGAGCAATTCAGAAAAACTGAAAAACTAGGAAGCAGCTCAAGAAACTGTGAAAGGCAAAGAAATATTTAAAGAGAACAAAAAAATTAGAAACTGCACAGTTTTCTTCCCCCCCCCTTCCTTTTTTCCATTATTTATTTTGCTGCTGTTTAACTTTGCAATTGGTGACTTGAAGCAAAATATGAAAAATTAAAAATTATTTTTAAAGTATTTATGTTTGTACTGGTGCTGTTAGGAATATAAATGCCGTCATCTAGACAAATGTATTGGAATTTTTCCAAAAACAACACTAAAATTTCTTCTACTGTTTCTTTTTTTTTTCCTCTCATTTTTACTTAGGACTAAGATTTTCTTCTTAGGAGTCATCCTAACTGAAATCCCCCAGCCTAGCATAGGAAAATAATTCTGTTACAGCTTTCAATTTTCTGAAGTCTAAAATAAGCATGACTTGAATCTAAATCCACTAGCCTTAAATGATTATTTTTTCTTCTTTTTTGGAAATTGCCCACTTCATATTACATCATAACTGATGAGAACATAGCTTACTTGAAGTGCACTCCTTCTAGCAAAGCAGATTTAATAAGAAATCCTGGGGTTCAGAAAAAAGAAACCAGAGCCTCTCATACAGTGTGGTAGCAATTTGTCAGCCAAGAAGAATGCATCGTTTTGCAATAATGGTTAGCTCAGTGGCAGACTAAAGACGTGACATACGCCCTTGCCCTCTCCTCGCAGGCATCCTCCTCCGAAGACATGGGCAGATGGATAGGAATTTTGCTGGCGGAAACAGGGTCTTCAACAGACCCCGGAGCTCTGCATTATGACTACATCGACGTGGAAATGACGGCAAGCGTCATCCAGGCTGCCAAACAGACCTTCTGGTGAGAGGCGTTCAGCTACCCGGGTATTTCCAGTACTGTGAGAATTTATTATCTGTATGTTAACTCTGGTGCCAAGAGAGCTTATCAAAATCCACCCCCCCCCTTTGTCAGATACTGAACTCCAGAAGTGTTTCAGCATTGCAGCATGTTAGATGTGTTTATGATTATTGTGTTGGCATCCTGCTAAGTTCTGTAAAAGATGCAGACACCATCCAACTTTACTCAAATCTTTACTCATTTTTTCAGTAAGTCTCCTTATCAAATGCGATATTATAATATTTTATTTTGCCTGAAGAACTGTCCCTGGAAGAGGACAAATATGCTGAAAATTAAATAAATATGCAACTATGTAGTTCATGTTTATCTGTTGGCTGTATATGTTGTACATTAAGAATGCACAGCAAATTTAAGTCTTAGTCGCATTCTCAGTGTTTCCTTCTCAAGTTCTTTTCTGATTAATGAAATACTTCATCAAGCTCACAGCAGTCCAATTAATTTCTGGGGTTTAATTTAGGAGGTGGAAATTGGGAAGGTGTCTAGGGCGCAGCACAGAAGCTCTGTTCAAATTGCAAATCTGTACAGTGAATTCTCCATCACCCATCCTGAGCTAAGAACAGTAATGCATACTTCAGCGTATATAGTGATTTACATGCTCAAATAAATTTAGGCATTATAGCAGTCTTTGGTGAGAAGAGACTGTCATTTTTCCTTGGCTAGATGAGGTTGTTCAGAAATGGGAGTGAAGGAACGTTTGGGACAGGCGGGATGCCATGCTGCAAATGCACCCTGTGGTTTCCCAGGGTCAGAAAGTGGGTAGCCTGAGACGACAGCTGGCAAAGGCGTCATCCCTCATCTCGCAAAATGAGACTACCCATACAAATTTGGAATTTGTGTGACTTAATATGTTAGAGAATCACACCCCATCTGCCCATCATAACTTTAAACAGACTAAAAATGCAAAAAAAAGAAAAGGCAAAAGCTTCAGAGTTTTCTAAGAGAAGACTCTGCTGCCATTAGCGAAGTGTTAAGAGAGCTTTAACGAGAGGAAATGGGCAGCTTCATTCAGGATCTGGTTTGAATGACTTCTGATAGAAACCAACATGACTCAGTGTTACCACAAGCCCAGTTTTGTGAAAACTGGGTAATTTTGATAGAATTAAAATTCACTTAGCTTACAGACTTACATTAATATTTGTTTTGAAGTTAATAGGGCTCAAAAAGTTTATCCTGTGTTGACATCTATTTTTGCTTCAGTCAGCATCTAGCAATAACCACATTTAAGAAAGAAATAGAATGGAAACCTTTTCCCCCTGAACACTGCTTGGCTTTCCTTTTCTGAAAAAATGTGATATTAATTGGAGCCAAGTGAAAAAACATATGCAACTAGACCACATGTTAGAAAGGAATGTCAAACAACTTGCAAAATAGCAGAATTCCCCTATTAAGAATTAGTTAAAATTCATTGGGTGTCTTTAAAAGACTGTAAGAGCTTGTTGATAAGCAACTAGAGTAGCTGTCTGCTGATTTTCAGCTACTCTTAGAAAATGAGGAGAAATGACAATGATACTTAAGTGTTAATAAAATACTACTGCTGCCCTTTATAGAATTAATATCAGTATTCCAAATTAACTGCAGTTATCATTAAAGCTTTGATTATCACAGTCAAGTCAGGATTATTGGTTATTCGTTTACAGAGACTGATGCTTTGCAAAACAATTGGCTCTTCATTAATAGTCCCATCAATTTTCTTCATTAAATCATTAGGTGTCTAGGAAAGGCTGAAGAAAAAGTGCTTCCAGGCAGGTTTTCTCCATTTGCTTTCCCATCTAGCAGTTTCAGAATACAATTAACTTACATGGATGCATCTGTAAACAGGATTAATGAGTCATAGTGAAATAATGCTTATGAAGTGCTTGCAGATACTTAGATAAATCTTAGCTTCCTTTGGGAAATAGTTACTACAGGTGCATCAGATGTCACTAATGAATATCCCCGTTTTCAGACATGGTTATTATGCATCACTCTACTTAAATAGAAAGAAATGCAGTAATAGTTCCAAAGGCAGTCCTTCAGACTAAACAGAAACACTTGAGTAATGTTCCTCATTAAGAGGAACAGTAAACAAATGCAGCCCTTTAATAATGTCTAATAAAGAATGAGATATGATAAAGTTAAAGTATTTTTATAATGGAATTTATCTTGGGCTTTTTGTTGTTTGTTTGAAGTAAGAAAAGCTTCCATCTAATGATTATTCCACCCCTGCCCTGCCCTGAAAGGTTCACGCCAAACTGGCCAGGTTCATCCCTTCTGTGAGCCGCAGGTCTCCCGTGGCTCAGGTGAGCCACAGTTGGATGAGGTCTATCTCCCTCTGAATGTGAAATTCAGTGGACTCCATGTTATTCCAAAGCCAAGAGAAAACAACTGTTGAAACCACAGCATTCTTGAGCTCGCGCCAGCACTACAGAAGACCCTCTCTGCTTTAATAGGGCTTTATCATATTTTATGAATGTCAGCACAGAGTCTGAATAGTTCCATTGTTTGGGATGGAAAGCTTTGTTTTCCTGTTAACATACACCTAAAGCTATAGAAATTATTTAGGATCTCACTCTATATGTCGTTCAATTTCAGCAGTTGCTACAAAGGAAAACAGCCTTTGGGGTCGTCACTGCTATTGGGTCTGATTCTGCCATTTTCTGCATTGTTAGATCTTTGCTCCCAACGCAAAGCCCGTTGTAGTCTGTGATATCGTGCATGTGTTCTGCAGAATTCCAGTAAAACAAGGAGGGGAGGTTTAAATTGGATATTAGGAAAAATTTCTTCACTGAAAGGGTTGTCAAGCACTGGAACAGGCTGCCCAGGGAAGTGGCCAAGTCACCATCCCTGGAGGTATTTAAAAGACGTGTGGATGTGGCGCTTAGGGACATGGTTTAGTGGTGGACTTGCGAGTGTTAGGTTTACAGTTGGACTTGATGATCTTAAAGGTCTTTTCCAACCTAAATGATTCTATGATTCTATGATTTTATACATATATATATATATATCCCTTTTGAAGAGTCCAGAGGGCTCAGATCCACCACGTGAAACAGAGCAAGAATGAGCATATGGAGTATTTGCATGCACAATTACCCAGACAGAGAGTTGGGAAGCGTAGTGCCACTGTGCACACTCTACCCAGCCAAAAGTTGGGATATGGAAATGAAAAATGCCCAGATTTTGAGGAAGAAAATATTCAGCAAATTTTGATAGATATGTGAATTTAGATTTTGTCAAAATTCCACTTTTTTTACAAATTTTTGCTGGATTCGATTCTTGTTTCTCCCATTTCCTAAGTTCGCATCCCCCCCTGAACGTGCATGCACCCAGAAACACCTGCTTCTCCCTGATGCAGACAACAAGGGAACTTTGACGGGACACTGGCAAGCTGGTTTATAACACAGATCAGCAGGTTCCCATGTAAACATTCCACTGAGCAGTTACAGCTGTTGCCCTCCTGGCTTTCACACAGTCTTATCCCCAGTCTAAGAATGGAGTACAGGAACATATGTTGTAATACTGGCTGCTAGCAGCAACATGTGAGTAGCAAAAGAAGGAAAACTGTCCTCAGCTTTCCTGCAGAAGGTGAGAAGGTATGTGCTTCCAGGCTACATAATCAGATACAGGGAATATACCACTGAATCATCATTTAGACTTAGGTTCAAGTGCTGGTTTTTATTATTTTTATTTTGTTTTATTCAGTTTTATGAACAGGCGAGTTATATCTACAAATCCGTATCGGGGAAGCACTGCCAATGGCTACGCCTGTCCGAGTGGAATGGCACTTCATTATGATGATGTTCCCTGCATAAATGGATCGGTAAGAATTGAATTTGCACAGAACAAATGGTTTGCATGTGTTGAATGCATGGACATCTGAAAATTATATTGTCTAAAAAGCCCCACTGGGCAGTTTCCAAATGAACTCGTATTTTTTTTGATTGGGGGCTGCAGACGTCTCTCACACCTACGGAGTATTAGGGGTGTGGGACATACTGTTTACATTAACCTGCACGTGAGCCAACGTGCATTTAGAAAGCAGTTGCCTGTTGATGATTTGTTGCCAAGTCCTTGCGTATAATACTCACTTGAGAGGGTATTTTTTAGATCACAATGGACCTGGCAAAATTAAGGACTCAGTTACACCACGCACTTTCTGGTGTCTGTTGAAAAAAACCCAAAACCCAAACACTCAATCCCTGGGGCCGCATTCCTGATGATAGCAGGTACTGCTCATCCCAAAGGAGAACCACAGTGGTCACTTCCATCTTTATAATTTGCAGAGCCAATCGTAGGCAGATGTGTTACAGGGTTTAACACATAGTGGATGTTTACCCACAGCAATATGTGGTCCTCAGGAAGATTTACAGGGGAGCTACAGCCTGTGTCAGCTCTTAATTTGGGCTGCCTCAGAAAGGCCTCCACTAAGGCTGAACTCAAGAGAAGCTCAGAGTTTCAAAGTGTTAAGTAGACTGCAAGTTCAGTCCTCCATCATGTCTTAGTAATCTCAGAAAGATAGCAGAAAACCCCTCTGGGGAACAACACATGACCACATGTGTGGTGAGTAGTCTGTATGTGTAGATCTTGGATGTGCTCAAGCCTTTGTATGAGTAGTGTACCGCCACAGCCAGGATGGATTAAGGAAGGGTATTTGGCAACCAGGTTGGTTTCTTTTAAGATGAATTGAATGAATCACTGGAGCATTGCTGTTGAGCTTTCCATTTTTCTGAAAAGGAAAAAAAAGGAAAAAAAAGAATGGCCTGTAGCTATTTTAGCTGGTTAGCTCAGAATAATAATTCTCCATCAAAGAAAATGTAATGCTAGCATACCAGCAGCTGGTATTCACTGGAAAGACGTATAGCCTGAAGAAAGAAAAAAAAAAAAAAAAAAAGGAAAAAACCCTCTTGGCTTCTGCTAACTGTTAGGCCGTATTACTTTTAACAACTCATGTACCAGATGTAATCCCACAGATTCATCTGTGTAGCCTGTGAGTATCCCCCGGTTAACACAGTCTGCTTGTGCCCCCTCAGTGCTAGAGCTAACAACTGAAGGTGCAGTCATGAAACAGCAAGGGTGATAGGATAGTACCAGTTTGCTCATACTATGGACTTCTGCTAACTGTTAGGCCGTATTACTTTTAACAACTCATGTACCAGATGTAATCCCACAGATTCATCTGTGTAGCCTGTGAGTATCCCCCGGTTAACACAGTCTGCTTGTGCCCCCTCAGTGCTAGAGCTAACAACTGAAGGTGCAGTCATGAAACAGCAAGGGTGATAGGATAGTACCAGTTTGCTCATACTATGGAAAATGCAGAGGACTGAAGCTATGAGCTATGTAATGCAATGCTTCCTTTCCACACCGTGTCCTCCCCCTCTTTCTAAAGAGTTTGACTCAAGTGTAAGGAATAAGCATATGCTTGCTGAACGCTGAGGGCTTGCTATGGTCAAAAGAAGTACTAAAGTTTTAATTTAGGAGGTTCTGCATGGTGTATTGTTTACTAACTGCCAAAGTGTATGTGTTGCAGTGGGAACCAGAAGATGGCTTTCCTTCTTCTCGTAGCAGGAACATTGGAGAAGAAATGCTTTATGATAACGCAGGCCTGTACGATAACTTGCCGTCTCCAAAAATCTTTGCGCGCTATCCGCCAGCTGACAGAAAACCCAATAGGTTATCTACTGACAAACTCTCCTCTAACCATTACAAATACCCTGTCTCATCCAATCTGTCTTCTGCTCAGTCTGTCACTAATACCTCTGCTGTGGGGAGGGGATCTGGCTCGCAGGTACTGTACTATTTAATATTTAACAAAGCTTTTTATTTTTTGTCTGTTCTGTTTATCTGGTTGTTATCTTAAGGGCCTTGGGCTATTTCAGTCCCACTGTGTTAGCACTGAAGTGCTTAGAGTTTAGTCATGAGTCCACTGCAAATGAAACAGGTTTGCTAAGTTGTAGATTCTGATGTTGAAGTATTGGCACCTGGGAGAGGCTTTCCCCACAAGTTCTTGGTGATTTACAGATTGTGGATAATAACAGAAAAACAGATGTGACCGTCCAAACTTAACCCGAATGCATATCTAGCTTCCTGCTGTCTCCTTAGGTAGTGATGACTTTTAAAAAAAAAAAAAGTGAAATACAACCTGGCTGTGACGGCAGATTTGCCTCTCTAGAATTTTGCTAATCTGTATATTGTCTGCACTATGGTTATATATATTGTGAATATACATATGTATCGTAACATATATGTTATCTATTATATATATACACTAAATGATATTGTATATAGTGTGTGTATACCATATTTAAATTACTGCCTGTTATTTTCTTCCCCTGAAAAAAAACTAAGCCTATGTCTGTGCTGCTTTCTGAGGGTGGCCTCAGGCTTCTGGACCTCAGCTGAAATGCGAAGCTACAGAGCAGATGAAACCCTGTGTGTTCAGCCTCAGTAGCAGACAGGCAGACCCCAGCAGGAGGGCAGAGCAAGCCTTGCCCACTGCTACGCCAGGGACCTTCTCTAGACCCCGTAGCGAGTCTCCTAAAGCTGGTCATTGGCATAAGCCTGCGAATGTATCACAAAGATGGGTGGTTTTCAATCTAATCTGAAATGGAACAGATAGATAGTGTTTCCCTTGTATAAGGTACCTGTCATATTGCATGTTAACTCACTTAACCCTTACAAAAACTTCATATTGGAATATTAGAATTCAGTGGAGTTGCAAAATCAGAGGTGGACCTGGGCAATAAATTGCCCTGATCCTTGCCTTCAACAGTAGGCTTCTCATTGCACTCCCAGTTCAGTCCTCCAAAGTTTTTGGAAGCAGGTGAGGAGAGCATGGCACATGTATGCCCTGTGCTTGGCTAAGGCACCCCCCATGGAAACACTGCGATTAGTCAGGACAGTGTTGCTCTTCCCGAGGTTCAGTTCATTACAGGAGAGGCCTCTAAATGGAATGTCGTGGTTTAGTCCGAAACCAGGACATGGAAACCCCTTGGACGTGAAATGAGCTGTTCCTGTTAATCTTGTGAGCTTGCCTGGCAATTATAAGAGGTTGCCTTTCTATAAGTAAGAAAAACTTCTAATTAGTAGCTAGAAGTTGTATAAGAGGAAGTTGGCATCTTAACTCCCAACATGTAAAAATATGAAATAATTATATTGTTTTGGAAAAAAAAAAAAATCCATGCACCACAAGGATGGCAAGGTCATATAGTAAATAAGAAACAGTGTTGAATTTTTGTGTGGCCAACCCTGCTGGGTTTTTCTGTATGAAATTAACTCTGACAAACCTGTGCTTCAAGAAGCTTTCCTGTATAAAATTATTCAAAGGTACAACTTTTCTACCTCACAATGGCTTTCTTAATATAGTGAATGCCACAGTTTTAAATAACTTGGAGACTGTGATGCCACCAGAGATGGGGAGTTGTTATCCTGTTATCCCATTGTTACCCTGTGATTGCCGGCGTGGCTTCCGCTGAGCAGACAGCTCTCAGAGTCAACATCTCTGGAGGAAGCACCGTCTCCAGCTCAATCAATGCGCTCTATTAAGGCTCTCCGAGCAGGCGGCTTTTTGTCAAGCTTTGCCCTTGATGAAAGGGTGACTGTAATGCCAGTGGTACAGGAATAGCTGGAGCCCATTTGTACTTTTGTTTTCAAACAGTTTAAAGGCAAGAAGCCTCCTGCGACTGCTAACGGGATCACCGGAAAAGGGAGAACTTTAAATAGCCAACCGAAGAAATCTGAATCGGTGTCATGTGTGAAGCGCACCGCGTCCAGTAAGTATGTCTTCTCACTGCTGCTTCCTCACTGCTGCCTCACTTGTGAGTGGAGTCATGAGGATACCCGAAATAGCTGTGTTCTCAGCAAACAAGATAATGAACCACTGTGCTTCTTCTGTGGCTGAGACGCTGAGCAGGAGATGCCCACCAAGACTTTGAATAGGAGATATTGTGTGCACTGGTGACTCATTAGTACTCCAGCCATGCCATGAGATAAAGGGTTGTCATATAGAGAACGATAAATATGAGATGTAGACCCATGGCTGCAAAGTCATGAGGGCAGCAGGGAAAAAAAAAAGGGTAATGAGTATTCATTTGGGGCAGAGAGTAATTCTATTGGAAGAGGCATATGAGGAGCTGAGAAAGACATGAGAACACTATATTGGTCAACAGGGGAAGCACTCTTATCACGAATGAAAAAGAAAAGGTGTAACAAAATGATGAAGACAACCACACAGCTCAAAGGCTTCCTCAGAGAGAGATTTCAGTTGGTGAGTGGCGCGTTTGGAAGGAGGGTTCTTCTGGGCAGGTGGATTGCCTCTAGGAAATCCCCAATAGGGATTGCTTTGCTTAAAGAAGAAAAGACAAAAAAGAAATATATTTTTAAAATATGAATTCAAAAATGCGGCATCTGCTAGAGAAGGAAAGAATGTGGTTTTTCAATCCCATGGTAAATGTTTAAGAATGTAATAAATGGATTTAATGGCACCAAGAGAAATTTGGGTTAGACTTCAGGAAAAAAGTATGTATCTTTCTAACGATGCAGGTCAATTGGTACTGGAATAGATAGTTGTGGGAGTAAAGGCATCTTGGTTACTAAAGACCAACTAAAACTGGTTTGACAGCTGTTTGTCAGAAATGGTTTAGTTGACTTTGCCTTCAGATATGCAGTTAGACAAAGTGATCTGTTAGCTGACCTATTTTCTTTAAGTTTGCAACTGGAGCAGAGGTATAGAAGGGGCTGTGATATAAATTAGACCACAGATACATCTGAGCCATGAAATGAAAGCATTTATATGGGAAATCAAAAAAGAAAAAGCTCTCAGGTATCAAAAAGGTGAGAACTTTGTATTCTCTTATGTCAGGTGAGAAAAGACATGTGCTTTAAGTACTTGAAGTAGAAATGGAAACCAGGCAAAAAAGTCAAACAGGTAGCTTTTCTTCTGACCCCTTCCAATTAAAAATGAAGGGTTCAGAGATAAAGAGGAACCTCCTTTCCTTCTTCTGCTACATAGAAAGGCAAGGCCATTTTTCAGAACCAATGTACTATAAGGTGACTGGTATTTCCCATCTTCCCTGTCTAAATGTAGAGAACAAATTATCTATCCCATATAATTTCCAAAGCTGTGCTTCGGAACTCAGTGGGCATCGCGGACTGAGAAAAAGTTGGATGCTAAACCAGTTTCTCAAACCATGAAATGCCTCATGTGATGTTCAGTCTCAGGGAATAGTTTAGAGTTTTACTGTTAATTTAACCATAAATAACCACAATCCAATACATACAGATGCGGAGCAGTACAAATATGGCAAGAATCGCGTAGAGGCAGATGCAAAGAGGTTACAAAGCAAAGAAGAGGAGCTGCTAAAGAGGAAGGAAGCGCTCCGGAATAGGCTGGCCCAGCTCCGAAAAGAAAGAAAAGATCTACGCGCTGCCATTGAAGTCAATGCTGGTATGAGGTGCTTTTTTGTGCTGAATTGTGCCCTGGGTAGGCTTAATTATCCAAATAGCTTTGTATTCTGTGCTGAAGACATGCTGAAGACATGAGGTTTGGTTTTGATGTTAAAGAATACTCTGTAATGTCTATACTCACTTT